AGTAACTGCTTAACTAATTGTTGTTCTTAGTTATATATTCAGTATGTTTGTCAGGTCTGAGTGTCATGATTAGTGTGTAGTGTGTTGCTGAAGTGTAGCAAGGTTGCTACACTGGTGTTGCTGAAGTGTAGCAAGGTTGCTACACTGGTGTTGCTGAAGTGTAGCAAGGTTGCTACACTGGTGTTGCTGAAGTGTAGCAAGGTTGCTACACTGGTGTTGCTGAAGTGTAGCAAGGTTGCTACACTGGTGGTTGCTGAAGTGTAGCAAGTTGCTACACTGGTGTTGCTGAAGTGTAGCAAGGTTGCTACACTGGTGTTGCTGAAGTGTAGCAAGGTTGCTACACTGGTGTTGCTGAAGTGTAGCAAGGTTGCTACACTGGTGTTGCTGAAGTGTAGCAAGGTTGCTACACTGGTGTTGCTGAAGTGTAGCAAGGTTGCTACACTGGTGTTGCTGAAGTGTAGCAAGGTTGCTACACTGGTGTTGCTGAAATACGCGAGAAGCCAGCTTGGCAGAAACAGTAGGTGTGGTCTCTTTCTTTCCCTCCCCCCTCCTCTCCCCCCTCCTCTCCCCCCTCTCTTTCCCCCTCTTTTACAAATATTTTACAAAGTTACGTTAAGAGTTCCCTTATTTACCAAGTAAGAGCTGTTACCTACTTCAGCTAGTTTGAAAGCTTTTTATTGTTATGAGAGATTTAGAGTACAATTAAGGAAGAGGATAAAGTTGGAGCCAACTGTGGGTCAGTTGACTTTATTTTATGAATGTTTAATACTGTACGAACATGTTCCAGACTTGAGTTGTTATAGTACTAAATGATCTCGAATGATGGGATGTTCTGGAGAAGGGAACAGCAGAGTGTAGTTGCTGTTTGCTGCCCGTCTTGTGGTGTAGAAGCTCACTTCTCGCTGTCCTCGGAGTGGAGCCAAGTGTGGTACCCTGACAGTATTGTCTATGCACATAACAGTAAGACCACCCACATCACTCCGCGGTTGAAATGACAGATGTATCCAGGCTGCGTCCAGGCGAGAGATGAGACGTCTTGCTCTGTTCTCTACTCTGTCAAGAAGTTGTACATGATAGGGGAGAGACAGAGGCACTCCAAGAAAGTGGAGCATACACAAGGTATGAGTGTACTTGTACCTTGTACTCAACAGCGCTCACCTCTCTCTCCCTTCATCTCCTCTTATCTCTCTCCTCTTCTATCTCACACTACTTTCCCCTATTTCTCTTCTCTCTCTCTCCTAGGACCCCCGTCTCTCTCTGACAGTGTCAGAGCAACAACACCACACAGAGAGAGAGAGAGAGAGAGAGAGAGAGAGAGAGAGAGAGAGAGAGAGAGAGAGAGAGAGAGAGAGAGAGAGAGAGAGAGAGAGAGAGAGAGAGAGAGAGAATCAATATAGGCCAGCCTGTCGGGGCCTTTTACACATTTGCACGTGCTTCACACCAGCTCTGTTGTGTGTGGTGGGTGACGGCGTGGTGGGGTGGGTGGGTGGTGGGTGATGGTTTGATGGGTAATGGTGTGGGGGGTGATGTGGTGGGGGATGGTGTGGTGAGTGATGGGGGTGGGTGATGGTAAGATGGGTAATGGTATGATGGTGATGGTGTGTTGGGTGATGGTATGAGGGGGGATGGTGTGGTGGGTGACGGCGTGGTGGGTGATGGTGTGATGGGTGATGGTATGATGGGGGATGGTGTGGTGGGTGATGGTATGAGGGTGATGGTGTAGTGGGTGATGGTATGATGGGTGATGGTGTGGTGGGTGATGGTATGATGGGTGATTGTATATGGGTGATGGTGTGGTGGGTGATGGTATGATGGGTGGATGGGATGATGGGTGAAGGTGTGGTGGGTGATGGTATGATGGGTGATGGTGTGGTGGCTGATGGTATGATGGGTGATGGTGTGGGGTGATGGTATGATGGGTGATGGTGTGGTGGGGGATGGTATTATGGTGATGGTGTGGTGGGTGATGGTATGATGGGTGATGGTATGGTGCTGATGGTAAAGATGGGTGGTGTGGTGGGTGATGGTATGATGGGTGATGGGTGGTGGCTGGATGGTATGATGGGTGGGTGGGTGGCTGATGGGTATGATGGGTGATGGTGTGGTGGGTGATGGTATGATGGGTGGTGTGGTGGGTGATGGTATGATGGGTGATGGTGTGGTGGTTGATGGTATGATGGGTGATGGTTGGTGGTGATGGTATGATGGGGGGTGTGGTGAGTGATGGTAAGATGGGTGATGGTGTGGTGGGGTGATGGAATGATGGGTGATGGTGTGGTTTGGGGGATGGTATGATGGGTGATGGTGTGGTGGCTGAGGTATGATGGGTGATGGTGTGGTGGCTGATGGTATGATGGGTGGTGTGGTGGCTGATGGTAGATGGGTGATGGTATGATGGGTGATGGTGTGGTGGGTGATGGTAATGATGGGTGGTGTGGTGGGTGATGGTTTTGATGGGTGATGGGTGTGGTGGGTGATGGTATGATGGGTCATGGTTGATGGCTGATGGTATGATGGGTCATGGTATGGTGGGTGATGGTATGATGGGTGATGGTGGTGATGGGGGATGGTGTGGTGGGTTATGGTATGATGGGTGATGGTGTGGTGGCTGATGGTAGATGGGTGATGGTGATGGGTTATGGATGATGGGTGATGGTATGATGGGTGGGGTGGTGAGTGATGGTTTGGGTGGGTGATGGTTGGTGGGTGATGGTATGATGGGTGATGGTGTGGTGGCTAATGGTATGATGGGTGATGGTATGATGGGTGATTTGGTATGATGAGGTGATGGTTGGTGGCTGATGGTAAAGATGGGTGATGGTATAGGGTGATGGTGTGGTGGCTGATGGTATGTGGTGATGGTATGTGGGTTGGTGGGGTGGTGGGCGATGGTATATGGGGGGGATGGTATGATGATTGTATGATGGGTGATGGTTGATGGGTGATGGTGGGTGGGTGATGGTATGATTGTAGTAGTGTAGTGTGTTAGGTGTGTGATTGAACCTTGGAGGAGGTTCATCACATGGGGATGGTATGGTGGCTGATGGTATGATGGGTGATGGTGTGATGGGTGATGGTATGATGGGTGGGGGGTGGGGGATGGTATGATGGGTGATGGTGTGGGGGGGATGGTTTTGGGGGGTGATGGTATGATGGGTGATGGTGTGGTGGTGATGGTATGATGGGCGATGGTATGGTGGCTGATGGTATGATGGGTGAGTGTGGTGTTTTAGAAAATTTATGGGTGATGGTGTGGTGGGGATGGTATGATGGGTGATGGTGTGGTGGGTGATGGTATGATGGGTGATGGTGTGGTGGCTGATGGTATGATGGGTGATGGTATGATGGGTGATGGTGTGGTGGGTGATGGTATGATTGTAGTAGTGTAGTGTGTTAAGGTGTGTGATTGAACCTCTGGAGGAGGTTCAATCACATGAGTCGTCGTCACGTACTAGAGTTTAGTGGTCGCCACGTACTAGAGTTTAGTGGTCGCCACGTACTAGAGTTTAGTGGTCGCCACGTACTAGAGTTTAGTGGTCGCCACGTACTAGAGTTTAGTGGTCGTCACGTACTAGAGTGGTCGTCACGTACTAGAGTGGTCGTCACGTACTAGTAGTCGTCACGTACTAGAGTGGTCGTCACGTACTAGAGTGGTCGTCACGTACTAGTAGTCACGTACTAGAGTGGTCGTCACGTACTAGAGTGGTCGTCGCGTCCTAGAGTGGAGTGGTCGTCACGTCCTAGAGTGGAGTGGTCGTCACGTCCTAGAGTGGAGTGGTCGTCGCGTCCTAGAGTGGAGTGGTCGTCGCGTCCTAGAGGGGAGTCGTCGTCCGTCCAGAGGGAGTCGCGTCACGTCCTAGAGGGGAGTCGTCATCACGTCCTAGAGGGGAGTCGTCGTCGCGTCCTAGAGGGGAGTCGTCGTCGCGTCCTAGAGGGGAGTCGTCGTCACGTCCTAGAGGGGAGTCGTCGTCACGTCCTAGAGGGGAGTCGTCGTCGCGTCCTAGAGGGGAGTCGTCGTCGCGTCCTAGAGGGGAGTCGTCGTCGCGTCCTAGAGGGGAGTCGTCGTCGCGTCCTAGAGGGGAGTCGTCGTGTCCTAGAGGGGAGTCGTCGTCGCGTCCTAGAGGGGAGTCGTCGCGTCCTAGAGGGGAGTCGTCGTCACGTACTAGAGAAGGGAAATCCTGTTTGAGTAATGTTAAATAGTTTCACATTAGACTAAGACACAGCAGACTGAAGGATAAACTGTCAGAAGGAATTGTACACTGTGACCCCATAGTGACTGATGCTCAGTTTTGTTACCCATCAGTGTACCGTCAACACTACGTCACTGCTGCACTGACCATTTCTATCACACACGTGCACGAGACTAAAGCAACACCCATGGATCCATGGAGAGACCCATATTTCTGATTTTTGTAGCGGCTTTTCCTGAGGAATTCCGCCCTGACATGTTGCTGTTTTACAAATAAGTTAATAAGGATGATACGAAGTGAGGATAACTTCAAAAGTTCTGCATTTTTTTAAGTGTAGAGGAAAGGTTCAAGTCGTGGCTGTTGGAGTTCAAGACCAGTGAGTGCGAAGTAATGTATATGGAGGGTGGTGAGAGGCGGCAAGGCATAGCGAGGTATGCATTTTGTGTGGAGAGAAATAGTTGAGTGTTATATCATTACTATGTTATTAACGTCAAGCATTAACAGCGCTCATGTCTTTCTCAGTTTTGTGCGTGTTGCGGTTCTCGTAGTTTTATTAAAGAATTGAGATAACGTAGTTAGAAACTGAGCTCCTGGTCCTGCTTCCTTCATAAAAATGGTCGGGAGTACTGGTGGTCTTTAACCATATCTAATATTGAAACCATGTATTAAGTAATAATTTTATGTAGCTCGCGTACTCCTCCATTACTGTTTTGTGATTTTTTTTTGTACGTGTGCCGGAAATGTGGGAGGGAGGGTGAGGGTAGGTGATGGTGCTGATCACTTGAGGTAATGTTTGTTTACCTTGTACAGGTGCTACTCGGGAGGTGGGAGCTGCACTTACAAGGATCTGCCTTCGTCACAGAGCTGTGGAGTCCCGGGTCAAGACACTTACCAGGTGAGCGCAACACAAACTCTAGTATCTGTGTGTACTTAAGGCTCATACTCATAGTGACCTGTCTTGTATAATTAGTTATTTCTTTTAGTTTCTAATAGTTACAGACATCAACTATCCTGGTAAGTACCATCTACTTATAACAGTGCAGCGGAAGTCTGTAAAATGTTTTGTACTGTTTCAGGATTGATGGTCTTTTTTTTTCTGTCTCTTGAACATGTAATATTAGAAGTAAAAATACTTAAATGTTCAAAACGCTCCTCTACTTTCTTGTGCGAGTTCTTATTCTTGAAATACTTCATTTCCATTTAACCCTTAAACTGTCCAAACAGATCTACGTTCACATGCGTAGTGCTCCAAAAGTAGATCTACGTTTTTTTAACATATTTTCAAATATAACAAAAAAAATTGTAGATCAAAGTTTTTTTTACAAGTTTTCAAATGTAAAAAAAGAAAAAGAAACTCTACGTTTTTTTACATACTTTCAAATGTTGAAAAAACGTAGATCTACGTTTGGACAGTTTAAGGGTTAATGAGGTCTTGCCTGCGGTTAGGCCCCGGGGGGAGGGGGAATGTTCCCAGGCCCCGGGGGTAATGATCCCAGGTCCAGGGGGGCAATGATCCCAGGTCCAGGGGGGGGGGGCAATAATCCCAGAAACCATATTACTATTTATAACCTGAGTCATTGTATATGATCCTAAAATCCGAAGCACAACAGCCCGCATGTAGGTCGTAATATAAAGGTCAGTATTGATGAACTTGAATCTTTCTTATTATCATAGACAAACAATAAAATGTCCAGAAAAGTCAAATGTCAACAAATTATTTGAAATTAGTTTAACGTCTAGAGAGAAAAAAGGATCTTAGTACATTTAATAAATCGGTAGTCATCATAATAGTAACAAAAAGTGATCTTAGTTCTCGAGTGTATTTACAGTACTTTATTTACAGTTAATAAGTGAAATGAAGGATTACACTTTGTACATTGTGACGGGAACATTAATGGTACGTGTATTATACATGATCCAACATCAACAGTAAAATAAATAACCATTAATGGTACGTATGTTACACGTGATCCAAACATCAACTATTGTTGTGATAGAAGCACAGGCCTCATCTCTAGGCTTTATTGAACATAGAATCTTCATAGTACTTCTGCAACAACAAAATATAATGACTAGTACATCTAATAACGGCTTCTACAGGGATGGTGGTGTCTTGCATATGTCAAGAGAAAAGTTATAACTACAGGCCACATATTTAAACTCACCATGTAATCTGCATCACTAATATAGGGATAGAAGAGAAGAGAATCACACACCATGTGTTGGCGCCCATGACACACACCGAACTGTTGTTGTTGTTAAGGGCCCCGAGAGGTGGTGCAGTATTATCCTGCTGCTGCTCCCCACAGGAGCAGTATCACTACAATCTCCCCCTTCTAAAATATCAGAGACAGTAATTTCCCAAACTGTTAGGTGGGCGGCGTACACGTCCCGACCTTCGTAGCCCTTGAGCCCTTCACCAGGTTCAATATTTTCCAGCGGGTTTGACTAACTGCTGGAGCAGAATCCTCTATTTCCGTAGGGGTAGTCTCAAGGGGCTTTCCAGGAGAAAACGAAGCATCTTTCACATCTATTGGTGTATCTTGAGATTCCACACTAATGGGGATTTCAACTGGGGCTAAATGTCTTGTAGATACTGTAGTCTCTTCACCATTTTGGTAGCGAATGTGGGCGTAATGTGGATTAGCTTGCAGGAGCTCTACCTCTTCCACTAAAGGATCCGTCTTGTTCATCCTACGGTGACTCTTCAGGAGAACGAGTCCAGGATGACATAACCAAGTGGGCACGGAGGCTCCTGTAGAGGAACGACGTGAATAGTTGAGGAGTCTTTCATGAGGGGTTGCATTAGTAGCTGTGCACAGCAATGATCTAATAGTGAAGAGCATCAGGTAGGACAGTTTGCCAGTGTTGAACAGGTAGATTGCGCTACTTCAATGTCATTGTAACTGCCTTCCATATAGTACCATTGAACCGCTCCACTTGACCATTGCCTTGAGGGTTGTAGCTTGTTGTTCTGCTGCAGGCAATACCTTTACTAGACAAAAACTCCTGAAGTTCGTTACTCATGAACGAGGATCCCCTGTCTGAATGGATATAAGCTGGCATACCAAAAATAGAGAACAACTGTGAAAGACAACTAATAACAGTTGAAGCAGTCATATTTGCACAGGGGAATACAAAGGGAAACCTTGAATATTCATCTACTATGTTAAGGAAATACCTATTTTGATTTGTGCTTGGTAGAGGTCCTTTGAAATCTATATTCAGTCTCTCGAAAGGCTGGGTGGATTTTATGAGATGAGTCTTCTCTGGCTGATGAAAGTTTGGCTTGCACTCTGCACATACTCTGATCACTTGTCGCACATCTTCCACTGAGTAGGGCATGTTCTTTGATTTGACAAAATGGTACAGGCGTGTAACTCCTGGGTGACACAAAGCCTTGTGGAGCGCTGAGAGTGATTGCAAATCATGACATGCTGCTCCACAGTGGGACCTAGAGAATGCATCAGGTGAGATGTTCTCTTGACCCGGTCGGTACAGAATATCAAAGTCATAACACGATAGTTCCATCCTCCAGCGTAATATCTTGTCATTCTTTATCCTACTTTTGTGCTTCTTGTCGAACATATACATCACGGACCGTTGGTCAGTCCTTATGGTGAAATGTCTACCAGTTAAATAATGCCTCCAGTGGCGAACTGCTTCTATGATGGCCTGGGCTTCCTTTTCTACAGCAGTGTAACATTTCTCTGATCCTTGAAAAGTTCTCGAAAAGAAGGCTACTGGTCGTCCTGCCTGAGATAAGACTGCAGCAATGGCAATGTCAGATGCATCCGTTTCCACTTTGAATGGTAGGGACTCATCAATGGCTTGAACTACTGAGTTTTCAATGTCCTGTTTGAGATTATGGAAAGCGGCTTCTGCTTCCTTTGTCACAGGAAATGTAGTAGCACTCAATGGGCGGACTTTACTTGAATAGTTGTAGATCCATTGTGAGTAATAAGCAAAGAGACCAAGAGTTCTTCGGAGTGACTTTTTGTCTTGAGGCATTGGAAGTTCCCGTAGAGGTCGTAGTCGTTCAGGGTCTGGGAATATTGAACCTCCTTCCACTACATAACCAAGGATGCTAAGCCTTTTAGTTGAAAAAGTGCACTTTTCCTCATTGTAACTGATATTTTTCTTCTTGGCGGCTTCCAAAAAACTTATCAAGGTTTGCATCATGTTCCTCCTGGGTCTTGCCACAAATGGTAACATTATCTAAATACGCATAAGTTCCCATGAGTTGCTCTTCCTGAATGAGTGAATCCATAATTCGTTGGAAGCAGGCTATCCCATTGGTGACTCCAAAAGGGACTCTGGTAAACTGATACAGGCCATCACTAGCCTGAAATGCTGTGTATGGTTTATCTTCATTCCTTATAGGGACTTGATGATAGGCACTCTGTAGATCAGTTGTGCTAAACACACAGTACTGAGCAATTTTCTTCACTGTATCATCAATTCGAGGTAGAGGGTACCCATCAAGAAGTGTAAATTTGTTGATTGTCTCAGAGTAATCGATAGCCAGTCTCCGTTTCCTATAATCATCTTTAACAACAACCTGTGCACGCCAAGGGGAATTACTCGGTTCTATAATACCCTCCTTCAGCAGCCTCTGAGTTTCTTTCTCAATGAACATCCGATCCTCATAAGAATGCGGCGTGACTTAGCTGATATAGGATGGCAATCCGCGGTAAGATTTGCAAACAGCTTTGGTGGGTCTACCCTTAAAGTGCTAAGTCCACAGACAACAAGAGGAGGCAGTTCACCTCCATATGTTAAGGTGACACTACCATGCAGCTTCTGAAAGTCCTGACCAAGGATAACATCAGAGCACAGTTGTGGCAGAATAGCTAAATGTACATCTTGATAATCCTTTCCATTAACTCTGAGATTTACCTTACAAAACCCTAAGGTCTGAATACAGAGAGATGTTGAGGCCATGGAAACGGTACCTGATGAGTGATGTACAGTCAAGGAGTGGCGTTTAACTAAGTCAAGATTGATGAAACACTGAGCTGCCACTATCAATAAGACCATCTACTTCTGTTCCTTTGATGAATACTTTCACAACTGCCTTTGACAGTGAATTTGGAGTAGCCGCAGAAGTCACTGTTGCTAGTGTCGCATGATCACTGGAATGTGTGGAGGCACTAGCTCTTGTTGATGCATTAGCACGACATACTTTAGCAAAGTGACCTTTCTTGTGGCATTTACGGCACATTGCTTCACGAGCAGAACACTTTGGACGTGGATGTCTTGAAAAACCACAAAAGAAACACACCGTACCTGCTGCTGCTGTCACTGAGGCAGGTTCCACAGTAACTTCATTGCAAGAGTCTTGGTCAGGAATTGCAGCACTTACCACTCGAGAAGGCTGAGTGGTACTGTATACTTCAGAATTCTTCTGGGCTGAATCTAGAGCTCTTTCCTGGTCAAAGGCAGCGGCTAAGTCGAGAGTTTTATTCTCCAATAAACGCTGCCTTATTATTGGTGATTGCAGGCCATGATAAAAAGCATCCCTGATGGACTCTTCACAATACTGAGCAGCTGTCACTGCTTGGAAGTGACAGTCCTTACCTAAAATTTTCAGTGCTTGAAGGTATTCCTCTAAGGATTCATCAATCTGCTGGCGGCGAGTTGCAAGGCGATAGCGTGCAAAGATTTCATTTGTAGGTTTAATATACTGAGACTTGAGGGTTTTGATAGAATCTTCGTAGGTATTACACTCAGAAATAGCCTCATATATCTTTGGTGACACAAAATTGATGAGCAGACTTAGTTTATCTAGATCTTCTTTAGGAAGGGCTCCCAAGAAGTTTTTCGAAAGTCATAAACCAGTGCTTCCATTCCTGAGCAGCCGTTGATAAGCTGGGGTCACAGTCTAGCCTCTCA